CCTCTTGTTCTGTTGTATGTAACTACTCAGTTTTAACTAAACCATTTTGAATTTTCTCCCTTATAAAATGACGGTCCAACTCTATGTGCTTTGTTCTTTCATGTAGTACTGGATTTGCTGCAATCTGTATAGCAGATTTACTATCATTATAGATAGTAGCTGGAGTTACAACCTCTGCATGTAGCTCCTTAAATAACTCTGTTATCCATACAACTTCAGCTACTGCACTTGCCATGCTCTTGTACTTAGCTTCAGCTGAACTCCTAGAAATAGTACCTTGTTTCTTGGATTTCCATGATATTAGAGAGTCTCCCAGTTTAACCATGAATCCTGTAACAGACCTTCTGGTGTGTAAGCAAGCTCCCCAATCTGAATCACAATAGACCTTCAATTGTTTGTTATTCTTGCTGGAAAATAGTACACCAAGCCCTGCTTGGCCTTTGACATACTTCACCACCTTAAGAGCAGCATCGAGGTGTGACTGTTTTGGTTGATGTAGAAATTGGCTCAGAGTTTGTGTAGCAAAGGCAATGTCTGGCTGGTGACATTGAGATATAATAACTTTCCTATTAGTCTTCTGTACACCGCTGGATCCTCCAGTAACTTGTCTTCTTTTCCTGTACCATTTATTTCATCATACTCTTTTGTAGTTAATTGAACATAAGGATCAATAGGTGTGGAAGCTGGCTTAGTAGCTCCAAGTTCAGCCTCAGAGATGATTTCAAGAGAGTATTTCCTTTGATGCATCACAATACCTTCATGTGATCTAGCAAACTCAATACCTAGAAAATATCTGAGATCTCCTAGGTCTTTCATCTTGAATGTGGCTTGTAGAACTCTTTTAGTCTGTTGAATAAGACTAAGATCATTGCCAGTAATTATCATATCATCAACATATACTAACAATATCACCAAAGATGTTCCAGTTTTCTTGATGAACAAAGAGTAACCTGCATGGCTTTGAACAAATCCCAATTTGATAAGAGCATCTGTTAGTTTTACATTCCATTGTCGAGGGACTTGTTTCAATCCATATAGGAATTTAGTGAGCCTGCACACTGGTTTCTCCCGTGCACAGTAAATCCCTGAGGTAGTTGAAACCCATGTGGAAGATTCATATATACTTCATCAAAGATGTCACCTTGAAGAAAAGCATTTGGCACATCCATTTGGTGGATATGCCAGCTCTCAACGGCAGCCAAAGCTAACACACTTCTGATAGTAACCATCTTGACCACTGGTGAGAAAGTTTCTTGATAATCTAAACCCTCTCTTTTGTTGAATCCCTTAGCAACCAGTCTAGTTTTGAACCTGTTCACCTCACCTGATGCATGATACTTGATTTTGAAGATCCATTTACAGCCAATGGCTTTCTTATGAGAAGGTAAAGGTACTACAGTCTAAGTCTGATGTGTTTCCAAAGCTGAAATTTCTGCTTGCATAGCCTCGACCCACCTAGAATCCTTGCAAGCCTTCTTAAATGTAGCAGGTTCTACCTCAGTACCAAATGAAGATAGAAAGGCCTGATAAGAGTGAGATAAGTGACCATACCCCATAACCTTGTCAATAGAATATAGGGGCTGGATAGGCTTGAGATGAACTGAAGCAACATAATCCTGCAACCATAAAGGGGCTTTGGAACTCCTTTGAGATCTCCTAACATCAGAACCTCTGGGAACTGCCTCATGAACCACTGCATGTAAATCAGTGGCCTCATCTAATTGAATAATATCAGAGGAAGATACACCATATGGTGGAGTAACATTTGAGGGAATGATGACAGGTGGGAATAAGTGCCAGGCAGTGGAAGGAGAAGCTGCAAAGGGAAATGTAGATTCCTTAAACTCCACATCTCTGTTAAGAAAGAATTTCTTGTCCTTGAGATTGTAGAGAATATAACCTTTAGTAGTAGGATTGTAGCCCATGTGAACAACCACCACACTTCTAGATTGAAACTTATCATGAATGTACATGTTCTTTGCAAAACATAAGCAACCTAAGACTCTCAAATGTTGTAGAGTAGGTTTGGAGTTGTGAAATACTTCTTGAGGAGATTTCCCATGAAAGACAGGGGTTGGCAACAAGTTAATGATGTAGGTTGCTGTGAGGACACAATTACCCCAAAACCTGATAGGAATATGACCTTGAAATCTTATTGCCCTGGCGACCTCAAGAATGTGCTTATGTTTTCTCTCAACAATACAATTTTGATGAGGTGTATGAATACATGTCCTCTGATGAATAATGCCTAAGCTGATAAATAAGTTGTGACATTCAACATTCACAAATTCAGATCCATTATCAGTCCTAATAGTTTTCACCATAGCATTGAATTGAGTTTTGGCAAAAATGAGAAAGTTTTGGCAAAAATATACTTATCTAGGGTTTTAAAAGTTTTCACCATAGCATTGAATTGAGTTTTGGCAAAAATATACTTATTTAGATTTTGGTAAAAGAGGGAGAAAAAAAGTTCTAAATTGTGAAATAGATGGATTTTTGAAAAACATATGTTTGATTCTTTTTAAATGTAACACAATTTTATTGAGAGCATCTTGGAAGAGTTTTTCTATAATGATCCATTTTTGGTCTCATTCTCTTCTTTCTCTCATCCTCTATTTTAGTCACTTTATTTCTCACCACCATTAAAACAACAAAATTTATAATAAAAAACATAACAAAGCTTTGCTTATCTCTAATTCCTCTTCAACGTAAAAAATTCACCAGGAAAGAAAAAACATGAACGATAACATAAAATCTAAGTAGCAAAATAGATGAAAAGTATGGCAAGAAAAGAAAAAATGGAAAGAAATGATTTTGGAGATTAGTTTGAGATTTCTTTTTTAAAAAAAATACTATTTGTAATAAAAAAAATGACGTGGCAATATATATATGATGTGTATAGTGGGGTGTTATCCACATCAGTGCGATTGAGAGACACACATGATCAGAGCAATTCATTTCATAAGCAATTTCCTTAGTAGAAATCGTAGCACTCATAGTACATATAATTATTATTTTTTTTAAATTACATTTATAAGTAATTTCTTTAAAAAAATGGGGGCCCCAAAAAATATAGAACCTCATGCGATGACTTTAATGGCCTATGGGTTAAGACGGCCTGCAAGTATGCAGAAACGAATCAACCTATAATAATAGGCTTTCCTTTTCGAATCATAATAGTTTTTGCTTTTGATAGTAATACGCTGAATAATCCCAACGTTCCAATTCCTTTCTCAACTTTTCCAGGCTTTCCATTGATTATAACTTATAAGGAAGAGAATGGATCATGTAATTGCTGTTACGATTTGCCTTTAGGTCACTAATTCTGATATTTCGTATATTATTTTTTTTGGTCAATTATATATGTGACCTTTTAAACTTGTTCACATTTTTTTCATTTAGACACCTATATTTGGGAATGTACTTGTTGAGCAACTAAACTTGTTCACATTACTTTCTTTTGTTATATCTGCGGTAATATATGAAAATTTTTAGATCATGTTATCATAAGCTCTTTTTAACAAATTGTATAAAGTTCTAAATACAAAATCATAATTGTCATTAAAAATTATTTGAGCCCAAATCGATTAAAAATAGGAATCCAACTAAAAGCTCTTTTTAACAAATTGAATAAAGTATATTTTCGAAACCCAAATCGATTCAAAATAGGAATCCAACTAAAATTAGTAAAACATATTAATGGAAATTAATATGTTAAACTCATTCAAATTAAACTCTATTAATACTTTGCTCGATTAATATGTTAAACTCATCCAAATTAAACACTATTAATACTTTGCTCGAATCCAAACTATATTTGTATCCTTGCAACATTATTTTTCTGCTCAAACTCAAAAAGAACTAATTTCTTTTATAAAAAAAGAAATAATGAGTAATCATCGACAAACTCATCGTTCTTCACGTAATCGCACCCATATTGATTCTTCACCCAATTATCGCAATCATCAACAACGAAGCTATAATCCGCGTACTTCAAGGGGCCCCAATTTTGGTGCTCTCTATAATCATGATAATGAGGATGATAATCATGATCATGAGGTGAAAGAGGACTATCTGTTGAAGTATTTGAAAATAAGAACTTACTATGGTGAAGATGAAATCGATTTCGAAGTAGAATCAGATATTTGTGCTATATGCCAATGTGAATATGAAGACGAAGAGAGCATTGGAGAACTGCATTGCGGACACAAATATCATACGGATTGCGTCAAACAGTCGCTGTTGAACAGGAAAGTTTGCCCCATATGCAGAGCAAGAGTTTTGCCTTTCACAGAAACAGTTAACGTTTGATGTGAAAGATTATTTTATTTTGAGAATTGTTTTTTTTCTTCTTTTGTATGAGAGAAACAGGTTTTTAGATGAGCACTCTCTAAAATACACATCATAAACATAATATTAGTAATTAATTTCATTGAGCCACAAACAATTGCAAACATAACGAATGGAGGTGATTGCCGGCGACCCTTCATCGTAGTTTTGTGGCAAGGCGATCTTCAAAAAGGCAACGCTATGGCGAGAAAGGCGTTGACTATTGTGTTTTCTAAAAAAAAAAAAGCACCAATTTAGGGTTTTAAAAGTTAAAAGGTAATTTTGGGGTTTTCTTTCTAAATTTGCATAGTTGCACTCTTAGACTGCGATTAAACAAGTCGGTGACCGACTCCAAAGTCCAACCAATACATATTTCTTCTTCAGATTTCGTCTTCCTCTGTTTCTTTTTCCTTCTTCTTATTCTTCAAACTTGAGTGCTACTTCTACCTCTCTTTTTATTTTTCGGTGTTTTGACTTTTCTTCTATGTTTTTCTCATTCAAGTTCTAGACTTTTAGTATTGTACTATCTATTTTTCAGTTTTTGAATTGAAATATTGGCTAATATGTTGTTATTGTTGAAATTCAGATTATTTGTATATGCAATCAAATTCTTCGTGTCTTGTGTGAACATGTGCATAAATGATAAGGTTTAACTTTGGGGAAAATAGAAGTATCATTGGGACACACAGCATTCTCTTATATTGAACAGAACTGAATAGATTACACAATTTGTGTCCTATTTCTACTTTCACAAAAGTTTCTCCGAAAACTTTGAAGAAACAGGTTCCTTCATCACTTGTAAAATCCTATCGTTGAAACGAAGATCAAACCTCTTTTTTATGTTTTGGTAAACATTAGAAGTTCCCCGTGTTGATGGCATCAGCATTTGCATCTCCAAGTGCTGCCTCTTTAAGGTACTTGTCAGCCAATTGAACTCTCTTCACATTCTCTTGCTCTTGGACAAGCAAGTATCCGTACTCGAGGAGCTTGTCAATTGTCATCTTTGGTTGCTCAAATTTTGGAGGTCCTTCGATAGAGTTCAATAGTTTTTCCCCAACTTGTTCGATTCCAGTTTTTTCAATCCACTTTCTGACTTTATCGTCGTATACTCTTGCCCTCAGAGCACCAAAGAAGTCTGTTTTAAGAACAAATACAACCATAAGTTATCATCATTTGGTAGTATTTCTTTGTATAGTCACAAATTTGAGTGTTCTTACCAATAGATTGTCCAGGGAAGGCATCGACAAGCCTTACAACGTGCTCATCAGGTACGCTGTCAGTTCTGAAAATTCCCTTGCATACACCAATTCTGTCTTCTCTGGTTGGTGCCCAGTAGAACTTTTCCATACGACCATCACGGATAAGAGGGGCATACAATGTGGAGAAATCGTTACCTGTTACTATAATAGGGACTCTGGCATTCTCTTGCTTGTTGTACATACCGGGGAGCTGGACATTTGTCGGGTTATCTGCAATGTTCATGAGGGTAGCATTCACCATCTGGTTGTTAACTGTGTATTGTGTAGTTCCACCCATTCTACCAGCTCCTGCATCGAGATCGTTGATGAACAGGACACACATGTTTCCTTTTCTGATGATTTCTGCTGCCTCGCGGTATCTTTGCCTAATCAATTTTGCTGGCTCCCCTGCATTTCCGCTTTCCAATTCTCCAGCACTCATCATGATGGGGCTGCAAATAATCCAGACTCAAACATAGTTGAAAATTTGTCGACTACAACAAAATGATCTTATGTGTCAAGTCATTAATACTCACTTGATTCCCATTTTTCGAAAGACAAGCTCACATTGGAATGACTTCCCTTGACCTTTCCCTCCCCAGATACCTAAAATTAGTGGTACCTGTAAGAAAAAATTGTTAATATTAAAACCATTCAACTTATGACACGAAAAAAGTTGTAAGCCAAATTTTAATAAGAGACCTTGATATTGGGCAATGTCAGGAAGTTCTTTGTGATGTGAACAACTAGCTTGTCCATGAAAGCCGGAGCAATATAGAATCCATCCAGCGTGTTGTCCAGGTTGTATCTGGAAATAACAATCAAGCAAACGTTTTCATTTTAGATTCATATATTCGGAAGGATTATATTTACACAATTATACCTCAACTTTCAAGAATTAGTTGAGAGACTTACTGACGAAGACCCTGGCTGATGTATTCGTATGATGACAAGACAGGATGGTGAGTACCAGTACCCACAGGAGCTTGGAAAAGAGGGTCTACCATACCCTTTCCCCTGGTGATGTCCTGTTGATCATCAGACATGTCCGTCACAAGGCCCTTCCATCTGTCTTGATCCGTTTGTTTCTTCTCATCTATCTCTTGTGCTTGAGCTACAATCCTGAAGCTCCTGTTCGAAACTTTGGGGCTGGAAGCGCCATTCGCGTTCACCTTCTTCAAGATTTTGCCAAAAAAGGCAGTGCTTGGAACTGAAGTTCCAGCAACAGTGTGGTTCAAACTCAACTGCACCAAAGGTGTTCTGTTTTAGTATAAGAGGCACTCCTACGTAGTACTACTTTAGTTTGATAGAAATTACAGGCAATGTATATGTATCAATCTTAAAACATGAACATTCTCAAAATCAATCCATTAAGTTAATTTCTTGCTAGTTTTCCACACAAATAAGCATTCCCATCAAAGAAATGACAAATATTATCCAACTTTTAGTCTTTATCTAAGACAAATTAACAGCGCCCCAATTTACGTGACACTCTTTCCTTTTTAGTCAGTTTCAAAAATGACATTTTTTTCTTTATATTTAGTAACAATTTAACTTCAAACTTATCATTTTACCCTTAATGAAACAATCTATAACCACAAAAACTTCTATAGTTTATTTAGACTACAAATTTCACAAATCTATGCAAAAATCAAACACCTCACATAAAATGAGACGCAAGGAGAGATCTTTTTTTCTTTTTTGTGATCGGGAAATTTGTCCTGGTCCATCCCTTAGGACCAACGCAATCTTTGAAACTCATAATAATGAATCTGTCCTCTATCCTTCTCCACTTAAATACCAGACTTAGTTAATATGACGCGCGACTCGAGCCTCTTACCTAAGTCACAAGTCCCTAAACCTTTGCCATTTAAACTAGGCCCCTAGGGCAATAAACAACTCCTATTTTCACTGAATTTCTTTTAACCATCCCATTTGACAGTGTATGATCAACATTAATGTACATAAGATACAATTGCTACTTTTGTTTCTAGTAGAAAATTGACTAGAAACAAAAGTCCCAACCTTACTAAACAAACAAGAATCATTATTGTTTCCTAGCTAAAACAAAGAAAAAGACATAATTTAACTATATTAAACAAGTTGGCATGTATTAAATTATAAAGAAATTAAAATAAAATACCAGTACTTTGTTGGCAGCAGCAACAGTTGACACAGAGCTAGCCATTTTTTCCAAAAAAAATATTTTTTGACAACTTTGAAAATCAAACAACTGATTGATCACAAGCTCTTAATTTTTATTTTTTTGGTGAGTTAAATTAGTTGATTGTTGAATAAAACAGTAAGGGAAAGAGGAGAATTTATATAGCACAAGTTATTTGGAGTATATGAAAAATGTTACTATTTTTTTGGATTACAAATTCATAATAACCACACGATGGTAGATTGGCTATATTACGTGGACATTTTGATGAGGCTTTTATTTTTTGACATGGACATTTTTATTTTATTTTTTTGTCTTTTTTGAATGTCCTAGAAACTAGATTAACAACAAAATGGAGTATTCTAGGAACTAGTTGGTTTTGTGGTCAATATTAATTTAAGTTTTTTTCTCCTCAATAATTTTTTTATTTTTTGTTGTTGTTTTCCTATATTTCTTATTGTAGAATAAGAAAAATTGAGTCAATTATTGTACAACATCCCCCCTCCACCAAAATTTTGATGATAAAAATAGAAATTGAATTGCATCGCATTTTTCAACTAAAATATTGGAAGTAATATACTACTCTAGAACTTAACCGTAACAAGAGTACAAAAGGTGTCACCTTCTTCCAGACAATTTTTTTTTAATAATACCTATGTTTTGAAGAATTTTTATTGGATTAAAAGTTAAAACCCTTAAAATATTCCAACCCAATTAGTTTCTGGACATGCGTATCTTATGCTAATTAATATTAAGTGTTTAAAATGATATATTAAATAATTTTAAAATAAGCGTGCTATGAATCTAAATTTAGAAGAGGGAAAATGCATGTTCAAACTGATGAATAATGAACGCCTATTAAATAGTTATTGTCATTACAGAGCTCATTCTTATAAATACTTGCTATCAATGGAAGTTAATATTAAGGATATTTGAAGTCTTAAAATTTATCATTTGTATTTTATAAACCGTAGACTCCTTTTTATAGACATATATATCAAGAAGTCCATGGTTATATACAAATTCAGTCAATATATGTCTTTCTTAGGGCATCTCCAACCCACACACAAAATTTTGTCAGCACTATTTTAGTGTAAATCAACTTCAACCTACTGCATCAAATTTTACACCAAAAAGAAATATTTTTTTTCTTTTCATTATTATATTATTATTTCTTATTTCATTTATATTTTCTTATTTCATAAAACAAATTTTTTTTAAAACATTCACCATATTTAATTCATACTCCCTCCGTCCCTTTTTAGTTGTCCATATTTCCTCTTTTAGTTGTCCCTATTTAGTTGTCCATTTTGACAAATCAAGAAAGGACAACAATTTTTTTCCTATTATACCCATATTTAAATAAAGTAAATAAACTTATGAACTTCCCAGCATTGATTAGTTATCTTGAGTGAATTTATTTTGGAATTGTAAATTGTACTATAAGGGTAAAATTGTAACTTCACTATGCTAATCTTTGTTGCCTTAATCTGTGTGTCATTTCTAAAATGGACAACTAAATAGGGACGGAGGGAGTATTATTTTCTTTTATAGTCGCTTAATATAAAATTATTTTATACCATAATTTTTAAATAATATAAATTGCTAGCAAATATTATACATTATACAATATACATAATAATGGATAATACAAATAAAAGTGAAATCATTAATGAAATACAATTAAATAAATATTACATAATTGAAAAAATTATTTAAATTCTACATAAATATTCAACTTTCAAGATCACTACGGTGCTCTCATAAATGCTCTATTAATGCATTACGTAGTTCAAAATGAGCTTCTTTGTCCTTTATTTTTTTATGTCGAGCTAGAAATTATTGAAATCGATAATTTTTGTCAAGATTAACTGTAGTTATATCCAATTATAATTTATAGTAGAACTAACATAAATTTAATTTTAAAAAAGTCATATATAGAAAAATTAATTTATAAAAAAAACTAACTTTTATATCTAAAATTAATAATATAAAAATATTACATAAAAAATAATTAAATATATAAGAGATTTAATTAAAACATATAATTTATATAATGTTTAATGAAAAGTTTTGTATAATGAAATAATATTATAAAAATCAATAAAGTGAATTGGTGTGATGAATAGTGTTACACCAAATTTGGTGTAACACTATTCACACACCAAAATTGTGTAAAATTTGATGTTGGGTTGGAGCTCCAAAACATCAAATTTTACACCAAATAAGAATTTGGTGTAAAATTTGGTATTGGGTTGGAGATGGTCTTAAGTAGAGCTGTCAAAATGGGTTTGACCCGCTAGGTCGGCCCAACCCAACCCTTGAATTAAGTGGGGTTGGGCTTAATTTTTTCAGCCCATTTAGGAACGAGACTTTTTAGCCCAGGCTCATTTAGCCCGCTAGCCTCGTAGGCCCAACCCGCAAGCCTCAAAGGCCAACCCGTGGGCTGTAAATTTTAAAAATATTTACTATATATATATATATATATTTTAAGTAGTGATTTATTTGTTAAGATTTTGTCAATAAATATTTTAAAAGTATAAATATAAAATCACGTCTAGCTTCTTTGCATATCTTTTACATTTTAGGGTCATTAGCCCACTAAATTTTCTTATTATCCTAAATCCAGTACTTCATTATAACTAAGAATTTTTTACCTCTTTTACTTTTGTTTTTACGCTTAATTTTCCACTTCTCTATTATTATCTCGTTTATGAAAATAGTGATCATGTAATGTTTTTTGCTTGGATGAATCTTATGAATGTTGTATCTTGGCTATTATGTAAGCATTCACTGAAGTATGCGTAATTTATGGATGAATTTTTGTATGTATTGATGTTGTATTAATCAAACATCAATGTTCGATACTCTTTCTAAGGAATCAATATTGTCTATTTTTTGGTTGAAGAGCCAACCCGTGGCCCGCTTAAGGCTGGATTGGACTGCTATTTTATCGGCCCTTTAATTAAAAGGGTCAGTCCGTCCTAGCCCATTTAATTCTCTATTCCGTTAAAGTTGGATTGGACCAGCCATTTTGACAGTTCTAGTCTTCAGACGTCAAGTAAATAATTGTCAATTTTATAGGCATACATCTACAAACAAAATACTTTCTTCATTTTATTCATGTCTTACTTTTCGTTTATCAAAATATAAATTGTATAATTTTTAATTTATATTTTAAATATATTTTTTAATCATATTATAACTTATAGTACTTTATTGGGTTATGTCTTAATTTGCATTTATATACTTGGGTCGTTGGCAAAATATGACCACTGATATCCTAAATTCCAGAAGCTCCTATCTATTATGAACACAAAAGTTCACCATCCACTTGGCTGCTTTCTATTGGATGCTTTCTAAACAATTAAATAATATGTCCGATCGAATTTCTTTTTACTTGTGCCTCGCAAAATTGACATAGGTGATTTTCTTATTTATTTTATTTCAGAATCAGTATAGAATATTTTTCGAAGTATTAGGGGTAAGGAACACAATCAACAATATCACCACTTATGAAACGTATTGTCCCTATTTTTACAAGATTTTTTTTTCTATCTTTTAAGAAACGTTTTCTTGTTTCCATATAGAAATCTTTTTAAAAAAAATTGACCAACGAAATATTAATAATTTGAAAATTAACCAAGCACATGGATTAGTGCTTTGATTTTTTTATTTTTTTTTGGGAAATAGGGAAGGACATTACATGAGGAGAAATCGCACTCTTACTAATAAGATAAAAGTTCAAATAGCAAACTAGTTGAGTTACTAAAATACTTTTTCATAAATTAGTCATTAGTTAATGATACTATAAGAGTATATATATATATATTGATTTAGTATCAATTAAGCAAAATTATCAGCCTGAATGATACCAATACAATAAGTATCAGTTAATCGAAATTAGTTGAGGGGTATATAGTATAATTATTTAGTGGAGTATTTGCATAGCTTCCCTTTTCATATATGCTTTATAGCATATATACATTAATATATTATAAGAACAACTTTCACATATAGCAAACATAAAAATCATATTTGTATGCAATAACTATAGTTTGCATAATTGCGCTCCATAACAAATGTTATGTTTGCTATGGAGCTTTTGATTTGTATAATTCGCTAGATACATCCAATTTTATACAGATTGTTCAGTTTTGTATAAATTCATTTATACATTGTAATTTATATAATAAGATCTGTATTTGTATAATTATAAGTGTATATGACGAAATATATGTATTTGTATATACGCTTTTCTCTCGCTTTATACAAACACAAACACATTTTATACCGAAATGTATAAAATGGATAATTGTATACCGAATCAGATTGTAAAAAAATGGGATGTTTGCTGCGAATTACAAATAAAATAAACTATGACTATAGCATTTAATTTGAATTAATAGTTTGTTATTTCATACAATTTCCCCTATATTATATATGTTTTCATGAAAATATTTGGAAAAATCACACCATATACACATTTAAGAGACAATATTACGAGTTTTAAACCTACTCTCAAAAAATTCTTACTTATAACAGTTTAATTACGGGTTATAACATATCAATTAAATTTAACTTTATTTAAAAATCAATTAAAATTTACTTTATTAAATGATTAATCTTTTTATATTTTTATATTATTAATTATTTAATTATATTGATTGCAGTTCCTTTTATATAATTAATAGGTGAGAGAAATAATATTAATGAGAGAGAATCAATTTGTAATTATCTATTACACCTTTTAAGGGATTTTTGAACTTATTCAAATAACTTTTACTTATTAATGACTATTGGGGCATTTAATTTTTTTAAAAAATAAAATTTATCACCGTATATTTTAACATGTAATTTTCTCTCTCTTTAATCTATTTTTTTTTCTTTTGCTTTTCTTGATGCTTTTTTTTTATTTTAAATTTTGATATTGTTTTTTTTTTAATCTGATTTTTTTAGAATTAAGAATCCTATATTTTGAAAATTTGATTTCGTTTTTTATTTTAATTAATCTAAAACTTGAT